AAGCTGGTATTCCCACTGCTCCTGGGGTAATGTCATCAGCCTCTGCTGACTTAAATACCTCAAAGTATCTAAATACTCCTTAAAATGCCTTTCCCTGATCTGCACTGTGCTGTGCTTGCAAGTCAGCTTTTCTTCTGAGACTGGGTCAGACATGAAACCTTCCAGCATGTTCTGCATTGCCCCATTAGTTCTCCCCTTCCCTTCATCTGCTGCTCTTTCTTACTTGGCTGAGTGCTGGCACCACGCCTGCCTCCTCCTGGCTGGCAGGACGGACCTTCTGCTTCCTCCAATTCTTCCTTTCAACATACGGAACACCAAACTCAACAAACACCCATGCACTGGATGCAATTGCTGCAACATAGGGGCACTACCACTTTTGCAATATCAGGTTCAGTGTCAAGACCTCAGGTGGCACAACTTTTCTGTGAGTTATCAATGTGTATGTATGTTCCCTTTTTTTCTTTAGTCAGTGTTTATGTCCAGGCAAAGAGCAGAAGAAGTGCAACTTTTAAAGAGTGTATGAATGTCTCCTGCTTATTTTGGATTCTGAGACCAACCTGTATTCAAGTAATAATGGATTAAAATGGGGGTCTCATTGAATTTTCTGTATCACTCAAAAAAAAAAGATGGTAGAAGAGCTCTGAATCCCACAGTTTCTCAGACTTCATAATGTAAAGACCAAAATTAGTGCTATTTCCCCCTTTCTTTTCATATATTTAACAATATATATTATGATAGCAATGTATCACCTTTTCTCACAATCTTTAAACCTACTAATCATAAGCTCATGGCTTTGCATGTCTCTCAATTTGAGTACAAATTAGTGGGTTTCTATCCTACATTATCCCTGGGTAATTAATGTTGCACAGTGGATCATGTCTGGTGAAGTGCATGTCACCAGGTAAAAGCAGCTTCCTCCCATTTCAATTTTGCTCTTTTCTCCCTCAGGTGCTGGGTGGGTTTTCTTCCCATTTAGCTGCCTCACTTTTCGTCCCCCTGCAAAGCTCTTCTCTGGGCTCTGGATGACTTCTCAGTCTTCACCTGGACCTGCTGCACCACCTATCCATCAGCATCTCCTGCTTGCTGAGAAGCCTTCCCAATTCATTTGCAAGTCAAAAGGCATTCTATGGAGGAACTTTCTGTGAACTCCCCACTCCAAACACTCTTTTTTCCTTCGGAACACAGGCTGGGAAGTTCTTTAGCCCAGCAAGGCTCACATGTCTCCAGGAGCAGGACATTCTCTCTGTCCAGCACCACTCTGTGGTGAGGGGACACCACTACTCATGAAGGGCTGTCCAGGCTCTCTTTGCCCCAGGAGTCATCCCACAAAATGATGAGGCACTGTTCGAGTCTGATGCCTCCTCTCTTCTCTGCTCCTTCTGGTATCTTTTATCATTACCCAATGTTTATCTTCCCTCCCCACCTCTGCCCATCCAGCCTCTTTTCTCCTCAGTCTCACCCAAAGCACAAACACTGTTGCAGATCCCAGCTCCCTCTGTCTCTGCCTTACTTTTTCCCTGCAGGAACCTCCTGTATGTTTGTGCCTACAACCCCCTGTTCCTGTTGCTTCTCCCCCATTCCCCAAACCAGCATTCTCCAGTCTGGTTTTGGCCTTTAACAGGATGCTGATGTATTAACCCCAGTCAATAACTGGTCATAAAACAGGGAGATCAAAGCCAAATATGTGGCATTTAATAGGTATTTAATAAGATTTTTACACTTCTAACAGATCTAACCAATACACCTTTGTCAATCCCATGTTCATCCTGCCAAGACTTTGCTCCCCGCGGGGACTTGTGCTGCCTCCACTGCTTCTCCTGCCTTGTCCAGATGTAATTTGATGGGAAGACCAAGCAGAATGTGGGTGCTGGCACTCCCCTGCCCATCATGGCATGAGGTGTGTGCAGCACAGCAGGTGCAGAATGGGAGGCCCAGCACAAGCTGCCCACCCTGCTCACTCAGGGATGGGGGGCCCAGAGCTGAGTGCCATGGCATGGCTGGAGGGCACAAGGGACTTGTATCACTTTCTTTACTTTCCAATTACAAGTCCTGCTGGAAACTGGCTCAACAAGCTCCATCTCCCCCGTTGCTTTCCATCAGTGGTAAGGAGGTCTGTGGATTGGCTGATCTGTGAGATTATAGGTGGGAAATGTATGTTGCAGAAGTAACTGCAAACTAAAATGCTACGATGGGTAATGACCTCTCGCACATTTGTTTTGGTTGCTTCCAAAAGATCTTATTTCCAAGATGAAGAATGAAGAACACTGTGGGGTTTGTGGTGCACATTTTAAGTGGGGACCTGACATTCCTCTGGCACGTGTCCTGTGAAGTTGGGCATTTGGAAATGCTTGCTGGGACCTTTAGATGTCAGGGTTGGACTGTTTCTTCTGGAAATCAGACACTGTTAACCCTAACCCTGCAACCCTTTTTGCTGTGTTGGAGTGACTATTAGAGCGGTAGGAAACATCATGCTTTAAAATACAAAGGGTAACTGCCTTTTGCCTTGTGTCTGTAGCAGTAGTGATCAAAATCTAGGTTGGCTGATTTTCTTCCCCAGCTATCCTACACTTCAGCCACATCATTGCCTCCCAGCCCCAGCAAGCCTCAGACTTTGGGGCAGAGGCATCTCAAGATCCCTTGAAGCAGTGGGTACATCTGGGGCAATAACAATGACTTTGAAGAGCTTGCATCACCCCAGCTGCCATCAGGGGCCCGAGAGCTACTCTAGCAATGCACAAGGAGCACTGTGAGTAAATGCCACTCTGCTCCAGTTGTTGCTTTTTCACAAAGCAGCTCTGTGACCTTCATGAGACTTGAAATGCCTTTTGGTATTGTAGCTGCTAGGAGATAAGTATTAACATTGCGGGGGAGGAAAAAAAGGGTTGTTCATTATTCAGTATATTGTACCTCAGGAATGATTGTTTAGTTTTAAGGAGCCTGTCATCCCAGTGAAAGCAGGAGGGACACTCACAGGCAGTTGTGCTGAGCAATCTGTGCACAATGTCTGGGCTGAATCTCCTGGCTGAGGCTGTCAACCACAAACACCCAGCAACAGCAGAAGCCACAGCAGCTTTCCATTGATTCGCAGTCCAGACAGGCAGGGCATTGGGGTCCCATGATGGAGCTGCCATTGATCCCTAAGCCAGCAGAGGACTCCCCAGGAACCAGAACAGAAAAGGTATTTACTGAGCAGAAAGAAATGGGGCTTCAAATTGGAGTAACTGGGTAACAGGTAAAAATGTTTTGCTGCCACACAGCTGTGACAAGAGGAACAGGACTGGCAAAAAGAAGCAAAATACCCAAACCAAAGCTCAAATGAACACAGTACTCTGCAGTGGATGGAGCACAGGGGACATTTTATTCTTGTCTGTGGCAGGGAAATAAAGTTAACTTTAGAGGAGAGAGAGGAACACCTGGAGGAAATAAAAGGAAGCAACCGGGGTTGCCGAGTGCAGAGGATGGGGATAAGTTGGCCACAAATCCTTGATGGCCATGCCTTGAAGTCTCCCTTGACAAGCTGAATAGGGACAGAGCCACCATGAAGCATTAGATAAGACCTACAAGGGAAATGAAAATTAGAAATTGCAAGAACATGGCCTGCTTCATCCCTGTTCAAACACCAGCATTATTCCTGAACAGCCAAGAGTTTACTAGGGCACTTAAAGTCATGTAAATAGGTCAGCTTGTTGCCAGAATCTGCTTATCCCCAAAACACAAGAAGTTATTTCCTGACAGCCAGCAGATGAGAAGCAGGCAGCAGTGAGACATATCAGAGTGTCTCAGAAGGCAGAAGGCAGAAGGCTCCACAAAGTGCATTTTGCATTTGCAAGTGTTTTGCTTTGTGATGCCCAGGTCCAAGCAGTGCCATAGAAGCTGCTTCTTTTAATGGCAGTGGTGTTGCATGTCCCAAAGACTACCCCAAACACTCATCTGCCTGTGCACTTATTCCTAGAATTCCTCTGGGAAACACAGAGTAGATCCTGGGAAAAAAAAAAATACTATTCTTCCAGTTCTTCACTTCAGGGTGAGTCAGTACTACAGCCCCATGTGCCCATTCCTGACCTGGTTGTCTGCTTCTCTGTGGCAGCAGCAGGATGAATTTCCCTCCCATGCTATTGGCTTTTGTAATGTTCCCAGTCCAGAAAAGAACTGTCTCACAAGGCCTGGGCTTCCTCCACTACACACCAAAGGGACAATGGTGCTCAGGTGCTGTCAACCATTACTGCAAGAAGAGTTTTGCCACTCTAAGTCTCTACAGAGGGATTTGAAATGTATGCTAATGGGCAAAAAGCCTCATTAGCAGAGTTGATTTGAGTTAGTGTTTATTACAGAGAGAAGCTAATTTTTTTTTATTTTTAGTTAAAGATGACTTAGAACTGTTAATTGTTTAAAATGTTACTTTTGCTCAAGCTAGCACTTACATGACCAAAAGCAATATTCTTGCCTTTAATGATTAAATAAAATATTGGCCAAAGACCTGAGAAGACCTTTCTTGACAGCCAGATGGGAGAGGTATGAAGCCAGAAACAATTTACACCGTTTTTTTTTTGTTCCCCCCCCAAATAATTTGAAAATCTTTTCTTGTGAACAGACAGTGAACATACTCTGGTCTGCAGGTGTAATGGCCGTGCCCCCATAAGCCCCATGGCAGCTGCTGTCTCCAAAGCCCCTTGGTGTTGCCAGCCAAGGCTGGGCAGGTGGGACCTGAGCTGCCTGCTTGGGTACTTTGCCAGACAGTCAAAAAGAGAGGTGTCCCACCTTACAAAAATCATTTTTGCCCTGTCTCCACTGTGAGCCCGAGCATCCCTACCCTCCCCACCCTCTGCCATGCCCAGCCTGACACCGGCCTTTGGCGAAAGGCTGCAAAAAAAAGGTAAGCACCATTTCTCGCATGTGACAGAAGGTAAAGCTGCGGGGATCCGGTGCCTCCCTCCTGACATCCTCTCCCGCCTGCCTGTGCCCACCTGTCTCAGCTCTCCCTTTTCCCGTTGTTCCTGCAGCCGGCCGCAGCGGCAGCGACGGGAAGCCCACGGCGAGGCGCACAAGCAGGGCAGGTAAGCAGGGTTCTCGGGAGGCCGCTGCAGGCCCGGGCCGTGGCTGGGCTGGGCTGGGCTGGGCTGGGCTGGGCAGCGGAGGGGGGCCCGCTCAGACAAGCCAGTGATTTGTGGAAGCAAACAAACTTCACAACTTTTGTGAAAGTTGTAAAGCCAGTATGTTTATTACAGCGTTCGAAGCATGTAGGAATCGTTCTCCTAAAATGACATGCGTACCTCTGGGAACTCCAGATACTCTTTTATCTCTCTCTCAAATACGTATGCATACAATTTCACAATAGATTTATACATATTCGTTTTACTGATTTTGTGTGGCACTTGCTGCTAATTTTTCTTTATCAGAAAGAACTCTTGGGTCAGGTTGCCCTGCTCTGTCTGCCACCCCCATCTCTTGTCTTTCGGCTAAAGCAGTCTCTGCAAGCACAGGCCCTTTGCAAGAGCTGGCAGTCAGATTAAACAGCAAGCTACAGACTTAATTCAAAGATGTACATTTCACCTAAATCAAAATGGATTTCTACTCTGGAAAATTTCCACGCTGTAGGTGTTAGCCATGCCATTAGCGGAGTCCAGCAGGCACTAGAGGAAGCCCCCCTGCCTGACACCCTCACAGGCTGGGGGGTGAGGCCACGGCCAGTTGCCACATCCCCTCAGGCTCCCTGTGGTGCTCGTGCGCAGTTTGTGTTGCCCTGCCGTGTCAGTGGGTGCCTTCCCTCCAAGAATCCCTTCTGGATTCCTTCCCTCCAAGAGCCCTTCCATGGGCTCTCCGTCATGTCACTAGTTCTTCCCACTGCCACTGGCAGGGAGAAAGCACCTTTCTGAGCACTGTCAAACCTGCTCTCAAAGGTTTGCTTTGCCCCTGGCCTCTGCCTTGGACAGGCATAAACCTTCCCCAATGTACACTCACAGGTCTTTCAGAGGCCGAACTAAACCTCAAGCAGAAGCAGGGGCCAGCTTTTAAAGTGCCTGAGGGATAATTCATGACTAGAACTCACTGATGGAAGTAGACAACTCAAACCTCTTAGCAATTATTGAACTTAGTCTAAGCATCTTTCTAAGATACTTTGAAGTCCGGATAAAGGATTTGTGAGAGGAGTTGCTGTCAACGCCGCTGGCCTCTGTTAGGAGATTGTTGTATTGGCTTCTTGTACAACTTTCAACAAGTCTTTGAGAAGTCCAGCATGGCTAAGCAGTCTCATTTATGAAAAACTTTATCTCAGGAACTCTTCCCTCATCAAGTTCTTTGTCAGCCTGTTTTCCTCTAATTTACTTCTTACTTGTCTTGCGTATATTCAGATGAGTGCCTCTCTGAGTGTGCCACCTTTTCTAAAATCAAGAGCCAGCAAAACCTTTCCTCCTTTTTTGGAGCCCTCCTGCCACCCAAGTGGCTGGTTCTGAGGGCAGCAAAGGTTTCCCCTACACAAGGGAGCAACCAAGGAGCTGCTGCCATCATCATGCCACAGCACTGGGGCACTGAACAGCAGTTTGCATTTTGGTGTGGAAGGGAATCAGAGCCTCCTCTGTCCAGCATTTGGTGCAGCTCCAACAGCCTCTGGAATTACCCTCCCAGGCTCTTTAATGCTCAGAGACCTCCCAGGCCTGTAATGCTGCCTTTTATCCTTGATGGAAATCTGGGGCAGAAGCTAATAATTTTATCCCAAGTTAGGGAATGGCCTGCCTCCTGGCCTGCTTCCCAGACCGTCTCCATTTTGTTCCTGGGCAACAGCCAGTAGCTTATTTGATATATTATTTCCCTAATTCCTGGCCTCACACTCCATCATAACTCAATGTCAGGAATGCCTCCTCCTCTCCACTTATTCACACATGTTGTTCCTCCAGCCCACACATTTTAATGACTGTCCCCAAACTGCAGAGAGAATTTTACAGGGACAAAAAGCCAGCAAACAAATGTTTTCTCAGTGCTAAAATTATCACAGGTGCCCAAACTGCATGCTGAGTGCAGGAATCAGTTTTTAATGACATTCTGCCAACCACTGCCACAATCACAGGCTCATGCTCTAAGGGGTGGATGTTCTCAGGAGTAAATGGAGTGAAACAAGTGCGTGCTTCTCACAGGCACTGGCCAGGGCTCATAGCTGTGCTTCTCTCCTCCTGGTAGCCCAATCTTAAAACGAAGCCCTGACATCACCAAATCTCCCCTGACGAAGTCAGAGCAGCTGCTGCGAATAGATGACCATGACTTCAGCATGAGACCAGGTTTTGGAGGTATGAAACATGCACTTTTGTCACTGTTCCTGCTTTACACTGTCACTTCTTTATTCTGTAACATTTACAGCAGTGAAGAAGCAGACTGACTCTTCTGTCTCTAATTTCTATTCTTTTGAATTGTGAATTCATGGCACTCTCGGGGGAATGGAGGTTCAGTGAAATAGCCTTCTGGATGAGCAAAAAGCATAGTCAAAGGCATGGAAATGTGATTAACAGGCAATATATTAATCCTATTGCTCAGTGATACTTTCCTTTGATAAAAATCTGCAAATACACCTTATGTTTATACCTGGATGGTGTGGGACATTCTAAGTGTTTGTCTTAGTACGGTCATACATGTGCATAATCAAATGATGTATCGCTTTTACCTCAATTATAACCCAAAATAAAATATTTTGACTGTGTTAATGCTTGCTCACAGTTTGGTGGCTGTGTGCTAGAGTAGCCGAAGCTTTCAGGGAAATGGATGGAGAACACGCTTTCTTTCAGCCCATCGGATTAGAGAATGTTGTAATTTATCTACCCTTTCTGGCTGACAGATGGTCATTCAAATCCAGGATACCATTATATACTCTGATGAAAGAAGATTTTATCACTAAATGCTCAATATGCCAAATACCAGCATGTTCAATTAATTTAAAAACATTTCAGTTTCACAGCAGTTCACAAATGTGAGCATTATTTTATTTGACAGCTCTCCTGGACTGTAATTGCCAGAGGTATATGAGAGACTAGTCAAAGCCTGGAGGAGGGAAAAAAGTTCAGAATCCCTATTACATGGGGTCACAGCTGGACCCTTCCCCTCAGGAGCCTCAGGCTCAGTGGCACATGCCTGTGTCCTGCTATGCATCCCCTCCTGTCACCGTTTCCACAGCTGAGCACTGAGTCTTGTGAAAGTCAAATGCACACAGCTTTCATGGATGTTATTAGCCTGCAAGGGGAGTAAAAGTGAGGAAAAATCTGCCACATTCCCTTAGTTGTGCCACCACTGGTCTCTCTGTCAATGGATCCTCTTCCAGTAATCTGTCTTGCCAGTCCTGGACTCAAGCACTAGAGCTAAAAACAATTAAAGTTGCTTTTAAATCTTGAAGGAACACATGTAGGATAACACAATAAAAAGAGAAAATTATTCTTGGGTCAGTCTTATTACTGACTTTAATTGTTATTAGAAGATTTTTGTTGTGAATTCCAATCATTTATACTTTCTATTGGCTTACTGTTGTTTCTATTTAAGACTGAGCATCTATTTCTATCTGTAAGATAGTAAAGTCAGAGGATTGCTTTGTCTCACTAGGTTTGTACTTTGTCAACTCCTATGTTTTTTCCCTAGGCCCTGCAATTCCTGTTGGGGTGGATGTCCAAGTTGAAAGTCTGGACAGCATTTCTGAAGTGGACATGGTAAGAGTCACAGATGGGACCTCTGGAGATCAAAAGTCGGCAAGCTACATGGGTTTGTGTCCATGGGGTTTGAATACTGCCAAGGACAAACACTCCACAGCCTCCAAAGGCAGATTCCCATTCAATCTGAATCTGCCAACAATTACTTCTATTGACCTCATGCTACCATTTCATGGCCCTTGAAGCAGAAGGAAGAAATCTGTTATTTTCTTTTCTCTAGGACAGAATGATAAAACATTGCCAAGACTGTCTCAAAGGATTTGGGTTTCTGTGTTTTCTTAATTAGTGATAACACACAGACAAGCTCTGAGGAGACTGATGAATGTGTTTGCTTTAAAGCACTTACATGCTGCAGACACAGTCACTTTGGACAAGTTCTGAGGTAGTCAGGGGCCAGAGAGCTCCCAAGGAAAAAGGGGAATGGCTTTAAACTGAAAGAGGGCAGGTTTTGATCAGATATAAGGAAGAAATCCTTTACTCAGAGTGTGGCGAGGCACTGAAACAGACTGCCCAGAGAAGTTGTGGATGCCCCATCCCATTCAAGATCAGGCTGGAAGGGGCTTTGAACAATTTGGTTTAGTGGAAGATAGCCTGCCAATGGCAGGGGGATTGGAACAAGATGGTCTTTACGGGAACTTTTTCAATCCAAACATTCTGTGACCCACAGAGCCTCTCAGTAACTCAGGTTTTGCTTTGAAAGAGAAAAGAATCACTCCCCAATACAGAATATTTTTGAAAATGTTTTGACTTTTCAACAAAACTGTCAAACAGCTCTGAAGGTTTCACAGGAAGCCCCAGATTCTGTCTGCTCCTAATTAACAGACAGAGGGATAAAGAGCCTGCACTGGACCCCCTCCCATGCCTGAGCCAGGCACAGCTGGTGGTTGGCAGAGACACTGGTGACATGTCAGGCTCCTCTCACTGCAGCTATTTCAGCTCTTGTGCGGGCTGGGATATCTGTGGTCATCTGACCTCAAGGGTCAGCATTTTTCCCAGAGCTAGGGACCCTCCCAGCTGACTCCCTGACTCCAGTGCTCTTGGCACCCTGACAGCTAGCCATGGGTGTCCTGAGCTTTCACCTGTTCTGGTTGAGGAGAAAACTTGTGAAGGTGGCCAGAGGGCCCCTAGAAAGCTCTGGGTCTTGAAAGCAGAGTGGAAGAGCTAACATCCAGGACTTAGAAGTTAAAGAAAAAACCCAGACCCCAGAACAACCCCAAACCAAACAAAATCCAAACAACAAGCTTGTTCCTTTTTGTTTTTAATCAAAGATTATGATTTTGAATTAGTTCCTGTGGCTTTTGAATACTGCCCCTGTTCCTCCTCTAATGTCATGTTGCAACACTCATCAACATGGGAAAACCACTAGATGGCCTTGGGTTAAAAAAAAAAATTCAGGGTCGATTTTGGCTGTTAGCAAAATAATAATGGAGAAGATTTTACATTTTCAGAATCAATACTTTTTAACTTGTGCAGCTTTTTAGAAAAATGCCATGGTGCTTAACAAGATCATTACTTGCTTTTTAAATGAAGATACATCAGTGACAGAGTTATTCATTCTGTACTATGTCGAAGCCTGAGAAGTGAGTTGTGGCTGAACCCAGTAAATCCATCAGACCTGATGAATAAACAAGCTGCAGCTGGTGATGCTCCTTGCAGCCCGGGGAGTGATGTGCCCTCAGGAGAGGTGCTTTACCCTTCATGGTTTATCCCAGAGAGGAGCAATCCCTACCGTGCTGATAAGGTGTCAGTAGTGACAGAAGCCTTTTTGCTGCAGGACTTCACCATGACTCTTTACCTGAGGCACTACTGGAAAGACGAGAGGCTGTCCTTCCCCAGCACCAACAACCAGAGCATGACCTTTGATGGCAGACTGGTGAAGAAGATCTGGGTCCCCGACATGTTCTTCGTGCACTCCAAGCGTTCCTTCATCCATGACACCACCACAGACAATGTCATGCTGCGGGTCCAGCCAGATGGGAAGGTACTTTATAGCCTCAGGTAAAACTGCATTCCCTCAATGCAAGCTATTAGTGGAAAGAGAAAGTGGTTTAATTGATTCCTGTATTGTGTTTTTGCATGACTTAATACAAAAAAAAAAAAAAAGGCATAAAAAGAATGAATGTGCTGCCTATCCAGAGACATCTAAATGCCTGTATGAGTACATTAAGTGCCTATTGGAGAAAGCCAGTTTCTGTGCCAGCATTGTTGGTTCCATCACTGTCTCTTCATTTTGTGAGCGTGGCCAGCCCCTGTCCCTGTTGGGAAGCTGCAGTCAGACGTGGCAGTCCCTCGGGGCAACTCAGCGGGAGGCTGATAGCAGGCTGCAATCCCCACGGGCCCTGCTGAAGAGGCAGGGCACATTCTAAATAAAAGGACAGTGTCTGGTAATAAAGAGAAGTCCAGGGCAGCTATAGTTGTTCACTTCACTACACAGCAAAGTCTCTGGGCTTAGCAAAATCTGCAGTTTCTATTCTTGAAAGCAATAATGAAGAAGTATAAATTATACTGAGTGCCACTTTATAATAAGCAAAAAAAAAAAAAACCAGAGGGAACCTCCTTTAGCACATGAAGTGAGAAGATTCAGAGCAAAGATATATAGCTCTTGGTGACTCGTGTGTGTTGTTAGAGGAACCCAAACACTTGGTTGGCCTCTTCCTGCTTTTTGCTCACTTTTCATGTGAAGTCCATGGAAGCTCTTTGCAGGGGACATTTTTGGTAAACATTGCTTTGTCCTCTGGCTTGAGGGGTGGTGCCAGCCCTGGCTTTCTCCCTTATTTTCCAAATAGTTCATCATTGACATAAGTCTGAATGTTATTAAACTGAGGTTTTTAAATTTCTGATAAGTAACACTTTCATGCTTGGAGATGCTAAGTGAGGAGCATCTGTGCCGTGCTTTAACCCCAGCTGGCATCTAAGCCCCATGTAGCTGCTGCCTCACTGCATCCTGGTGGGAGGGAGAAATGGAAGAGTAAAAGACAAAAAACCTTGTGGGCTGAGATAAAGGCAGATAATTAGGTAAAGCAAAAGCCCCATGCACAGGCAAAGCAAATTGAGAAATTGATTCAGCACTTCCCAAGGGCAGGCAGGTGTTCAGCCCCAGAAAAGCAGGGCTCCATCACACGTAATGGTCACTTGGGAACACGAGTGCCTTTATTCCAAACTTCTGCACCTTCCTTCTTCTTCTTCCCCCACTTCATACACTAAGCATGATGACATAAGCTGTGGAATGTCCTTTTGGTTAGCTGGGATCAGCTGTCCCCTCCAAACTCCCTGTACACCCACAGCCTCTTCTCTGTTAGGGTGGCGTGAGAAGCAGAAAAGGCCTTGGTGCTGTGGAGCCCTGCTCAGCGCTGATAAAAATATCCTTGTGTTATTAACACTGTTTTCTTGACAAATCCAAGATGTATTCCCACACTAGCTACTGTGAAAAAATAAAATTAACTCTATCCCAGACAATCAATTTATCAATCTCCAAAGGAATATAAAATCTGTTCTTCTGTTTTACTTGGCTGCAGCTCCATCCAGTCAGAAAACAAGTACTGCCAAAGGACCCATAAAAACCTATTTGAAGGGAAATTTCTGTACAATATTCTGATGCAAGAGTGTCAACATCACCTCCACAGCAATGAAATAACAAAATACCTGATAAATAAACAAAACATCAGATGATAGGTAACATATTCTGAAGGACAAAAAGAATGAAGACCTGGCTGATAGGAGGTCAGTATCAGCAAGACTCGTAGTGAGAAAGTTGCAGAATACACTGCTTGTGAAGGCTGTGGAAGTCTTTAGGGAATGTTGGTAGTGGCAGAGGTGAAGCTAAGCCTGCCACAAGGTGAGGGGGTAACTTCTCAGCCTGCCAAGGTGTTTTATGATTCTACAAAAAAAGTCAAGCAAAGAAATTCTTGATTCCCTAGGGGGGCATCAGTTTGACAAGAATTCTTTTGTTCTTTGATATTTTTATCTTACAGTTCATTTGAATTCATAGCCTGAACATTACCTTCTCATTATCAAAGCTTTTTCTTCACTCAGCAGATTAGACAAGGTTCAGGTATTCTTTAGGCCTTTGTAAAGTTTGGTCAGGTCCTGAGTACAATAAAAAAGGACAAGAATATGACATATTGTTCAGCTATAGCATGCATGCCTACACACTCATTTAGCTGCCAATCACCTGCAATGCAAGCATTTATGGTTATCTAAAGAAGATGGGAACAGGAGGACATAAAACTCAGATCCTGCACAGCCTTGTGCTTAAACAATTGCCCAGTACAAAGTGGTGGTGAAAAACTTCAATAGCAAATTGGCTGAGTTTCAGTGTTTTGTTCACCAGCAAGTTCAGGTTGCAATGCTTCGTGAATGCTGGAGAAGGACAAAGGCTCCCTGACAGGGCACTGCTGCCTCTCTGCTTGCTGAATGCCTTTGTCTGCACATTGTATTTTTCCTTGGTGTCTGGCTTTTTAGGGTTCTTTGCCAGACATTTTTTTCCCCTCTTGGAAACCACCACAGACCTCTCTGTCACCTAAACTTCCAGCTGAGCCAAGCACTTTCACTCAAAGGCTAAGTCCAGACAGGAAAGCAACATCAGACAGAACCCATCAGACAGTCCACTGGTGTAGAAAGACTACTAATATAAGGGATTGCATTGTGTTTTTATCATTGTATGATGTCTCTCTACCAGTAACCCTTCTATAACTTATTAATTCTTTCCCCAATATAATTTATACTTTTTTTTTCATTTACTTCTCTGGAGTCCAAACCACTCGAGTCGAGATTTATGGTTGCTTCTGGTTCAAACACCAAATTATGCTATTAAAAATGTGATAATCAGACCATAGCAAAGCGAGAGATTTTTGACGGATGGACCAGAGCATTTCGGTGATCACTTGCATTCCAGCTCCAGCCCTGTGCCCTCTGGTGGCTGATTCCCGTGTGTGATCGCTGAGTTTCCACTGAGCATGGGAAATTCATGGTGTGCAAGGAAATTGCCTGCATCCCTCATGGGTTGCAACTACGATGGCTTGGATAAATGCAAATTATTTTATCGTACAAAGCATCTGTTTAAAGGACAGATGTCTGCAGAGATGTGTTTGCTGATTGTCAGGGGGAAATGTCCTTTTTGCCCTTTCTCATTTTCTTCTCCAATACTTCTGTCATCTAGTTGCAATTTGTAATGGCCTAACTTTCTAGTCACCTTTTTTTACAGCAGCTTGCTGAGAGGAAGAAATTACTGAAGTGGAATGGCTTTAGTTGAATGGGAGGAATTTATTTTCAGTTGAGTGGTACTGGCTGCAGTTGTTTAATAAAAGACCAAACTCACAGCTTGACTATTTTACAGTCCCATAAGGAGACAAGTCTTTAATGGACTGATTTTTATTATTTCTAGAGTTACAGTAACAGCAATGTGCAACATGGATTTTAGTCGCTTTCCCCTGGACACGCAGACATGTTCCCTGGAGATTGAAAGCTGTAAGTAAAGTGGAGGTATTGGGGAGCCAAGGGCACCTAAACTATTTTATACCAATAATTATTATATCAATAATTAATTAGACCAATAATTACACTGCTGCTTCATTCATGGAAGCTCTAACCAAAGTCATCAGACTTCAACACTGAGAGAAGCTCCCTGCCTGTATTTTTTCACTAGAATTAGATGGTGTTTGCAACAAGTGTTTTTAAAAACCAGCTGTGAGCACTGTCTTGCCAGCGGCCCTGAATGCCCAGTGGGGCCCAGGCTGCCCCACTGCCATCCCACCCCCAAAGCCCCATGGCCACTTGCCTGCAGGGCAGCAGTCTCCAACAGCACCTGTTTGCCCAGGTGCCCTCAGACACAGGGATAAATGGCCATACACCCTTCATGGGCAACATCTGCTCATCCATGGTGTAGAGACCATGATAGGGTAGTGACATTCATTGCCTATTTGAGATAAAGCCAGCTTATGCCTGTTGACCCGAGTATGATGCACATATGAATTGCCCAGGTTTCACATAGCAAAATTTCAAACTTTTGGCTTTTTTGAGTTATTTTCTTTTCCTTCTTAAGTTTGCAATAAGAAATTACAATTTTTAATTCTGTTTTAATACATTTGTATGTGATTTATTTTCTCCCTGTGTGAAAAGAGCTTCTACTAAACCCATCTGAAAGGATTAACATTACTGTTACTTCCACTTGTGTTAAAAAACAAAGTTATGTTCATGTGTATATCATAGGCAGAAATCTTTTTCTCCAAGAGTTTTTTTCTCCTGCATGCCTCAGGCTATTGTTTGTTCAGATTACTTCTCTGATTGTTCCTCTCATCACCCCAAGCAGGTTCTTTCTGCTAAGGCTCCCTTTCTTTGCTTCTGATTTTAGGAGGTTTACAGGAAAGAATTGTTCAAGTTCTGATGCAGTGGGTTACTTGACACACATATTATGTGTGTGAAACTATGGTTAGAGAAACAGGAGGGTTAACAAAACGTATCAGGCATCAGGCCTGAGGGCTGTGACCATGAGCTAGTCCACTCCTTGCCACAGCCATACCCACCACCTAGGTGGGTGGCATTTGGGAATTTGACCTTTTCAGATGGGAGCTCTCTGGGTAAGCCCTGGACTGTGGGGGTGGTAGCAACTGTCTTAGTGCACTATCCTGAATTTGCTCTGCTTCCCTAGATGCCTACACTGAAGATGACCTTATGCTCTACTGGAAGAATGGGAATGATTCCCTAAAAACAGATGAGAGGATATCACTGTCCCAGTTCCTGATTCAGGAGTTTCACACCACCACAAAGCTTGCCTTTTACAGCAGCACAGGTGGGCAACCAGAGCACCTTCCAGAGCTGGGTGAAGAAAGGTGAAAACTGTCTCTCTTGCCCTTGGCCATGGAGCATTGTCCACTGGGGTTCTCTCTGTACCCCATCAGAGCTGCCACTCTTCTATACCAAGTTGGCTGTCCCTGCCACACACTTCCACCTTAATGGTCATGTAGTCTGGAAAGATAATCCCTCTTCAAGGTCATGCCAAGTCTTCACTTGAATTAAACTCTCGGATTGATAGGCTTTATTTTCCAGAATTGATCAGCCTGAGAGATGGTTAGACTTTGATAGTTGGTTCAGTAAGGAGTTTTTCTGTAAATTGCAGTGATCTGCACCATTAACTGTGTTTTCATAAAAGAAAAGTAGTCACTTTTCCCCTGGTGCAGCATTACCCTATCTGAAAGCAGTCAGGTGTTGGTGTAACTCCTGTTTTTCACTCTCTCTGTTTCACAGGGTGGTACAATCGCCTCTATATAAACTTCACGTTACGCCGACACATCTTCTTCTTCCTGCTCCAGACCTACTTCCCTGCCACTCTCATGGTCATGTTGTCCTGGGTGTCCTTCTGGATCGACCGCCGAGCGGTTCCTGCCAGAGTCCCGTTAGGTAAAAGCAATCTTGTAGTCAGCAGACCTCAGGGACAAAGGCTGCAACCCCAGCCTTGACCACCCCGGTGAAATCCCTGGTGCCATGCTCTGCCCCTGTATTGCCTGCAGGCACAGAAAGCAGCTGTGCCACACACAGGGACAGGGTATGTGTCCCCCCGTGGCGCAGACTCTCCTCATGCCAGGAGAATTGCTTTCCCTGTTTGCACAAGATGCACCTGGAATGAATCAGAGAGCAAACATCCCACTCTGCTTTTATTGCTCTAAACAGAGACAGGGCACGTGTACAGCCAAGTGTCAGTACCCTTCACATGTACAGCCAAGGTGTCAGTATCCTTCAGAGACTTCAGTGAGCGAGAAGGTGAAAATCAGTATCAGCAGCCCTTACAAAATTTCAGATAATATTGAGTTTTGCCAGAGGAGGGAGGGTGGAGGTAACAAAGCTGAGCTGTGCCATGCTGTTTAACTTTTTAAATGAGTTTGCACTGCAGTGTGAGGGATTCAGCTTCCCTTTCTGCAGCATCTTTTTGAGGGATGAAGCCATATGTCACAGGAATCACCATAGGAGCAGATCTGTGATATGGACATAAATCTTCTTCTAAAGTGGCTGCTTTGCCCTCAGCAAAGTGCTGTTTTTTTGCAGATTCTGAGCTCAGGCTTTCTTCCTCTTATTCCAGGCACATGCCTCAGGATTTTATTTATTTTTAAAATCACATTCCTCAGTGGAGAAAATACAGAGAGACACAATAGAGATGGCAATAGAGCAGTTTTTCAGGTCTGAATTTAGAAACAGCACTCATTGCCTCAAGACATCATTAAAAGAAGCATAAGGGTATGGGCCGTGGCTTTTCAGAAGATGTAGGCACTGCCTGAGCAGTATTTTTGGCACCTACATACTCCTGTGAATTCAGTCCTTTGTGCTTACATATTTTCAACTTCCAAAGTAATCACTAATGTGACATAATTAGTCCCTGAAATGAGAGGGCCATGGAGAGGCTCTCCCAGAGCCAGGGTAATGCTGAACTACAGCAGCTCCTGCCCTTGCTCTGTGCTCATTGTGCTTGCCCAGGGTGTAACATGGGACAGCCCTGACTTATGGGGCGCCATTATTCCCTGATTTTGCTCCAGTGAAGGCACAGACCAAGTGTGAGAGTCAGCTGGGGACTCTGTGACATCTCATGAAGCAGGACTTCTCAGGAGAAGTCCAGCATACAGAAAACACAGGGGAAACATGTAAAAGCAGCAGCTTCACTTGTGTCCATGCTGTGGGGGGGTTAAACTAGAAGCTGAGATACTCAGAATTATAGAATCATAGAATATCTTGAGTTGGAAGGGATCCATAAGGATCACTGAGTTCAAATCCGCATACTTGTACCCCTCCAGGGACTGTCCTGAACCTAGAATGGGGTGCAGCCAGCACAGGGTCAAAGTGCTGCTGCCTGGCCCTGGGATGGGAGGCTGGGGGAGTGGTGAGGAGCCAGACTAGCAACGTCCTGAGAGCAGAATTAGAGCTGTGCTCACCAAATAGACAAGAAAACTGGACAAGATACATTTGTCCAATTACAAATCAGGGCTGCCTGGACCCTCCTCAGGCAGTGAAACTTATTACCCAAAAGTGAAAAAAAATATTGCAAGGTAAATTCAGATGTTAGGAAATTGTAACAACTGCTGTATTTGTGATGAAGAGTCTGGCTTGAAAGCATCTTATGGTCTCTTCTACTGGTGAATTCCCAGGCATAACCACCGTGCTGACCATGTCCACGATCATCACTGGGGTGAATGCCTCCATGCCTCGTGTTTCCTACATCAAAGCCGTGGACATTTACCTGTGGGTCAGTTTTGTGTTTGTCTTCCTCTCGGTGCTGGAGTACGCGGCTGTGAATTACCTGACAACGGTGCAAGAGCGGAAGGAGAGGAAACTGCGGGACAAGGTGAGGTTTTCTATCTCCAATGTCATTTTATTGCCCCTGGGAAAAGGTGTGGCAAAAGTCTGGAAATGTTCAAAGCTTTGCAACTGCAGCTCTCAGCTGCCTGGGGAAAATGCAGTGTGTGCAAAAAGACACCAGCAGTGAGGCATTGCAGGTTATGAAGATTTTGCACACACAACCCACACCCAAGCTCGCTGCTCTTTCTTTGGAGTCTGCGTGGGCTAACTTAGGTATAGTCCTCCATTGCCTGTACAGATGGGATAGGTTTAGGATTTTACCTTTAAATATTTTTTTAATAGTGTAGATTAAAACCTGTGGATAGAATCAGTTGAATTCTGAGGTTTGGGTTTCAGATAACATGACAGATATCCCCCACTTTTGTCTGTGCACAGTCTAAACTTATACACAGGTCCCAATTTTCTCACTCTGCCCTTGTTACATTAAATCTAAACTAAAATTTCAGCCTAAGGGAGTTTCTCTCCTGCCCCAAATGAGGCAGGCTTCATTCCTTCTTGTGGTTTCCCTGTCTTCCTCTGATTTTCTCAGCTACAAAGCACAGTTCCAACCTTTTTTTGCACCCTGGTACCTGTGCCTAAACCAAAGGAACTTTTCCACAGACAGCCCTGCTCCCTCCCTGACTGTACCTGTGCCTCACAGACATGGAAGTGGAGATGGAAAACGCTCCTGCCCAGCTCCACCGTTTTGTTCTCCCTTTTGCATCCCAGCAGCCTGAATCCCGCAGGCCTTTCCCCACCTCTGTGGGATGGGAGGAGGAAAGGGATGTCTGTGAGTGTGTGGACACAGCTGAAACCCCTGCTGCCCCTGTCTGTGCCCACAGCCTGCCTGTGCCTGCAGCCTGCCTCAGCCCCGGGCCATGATGGTGGACGGCAGCTACAACGACGGGGACGTGAACGAGCTGGGGCACTTCATGTCCGAGGACGGGGACAAGCAGGAGCGGATGATGGTGCAGCTGGCGCTGGGCTCGGAGAGGGGCTCGGCCAGGAGGAAAAACCAGAGATACGTCAGCATGCGCATCGACACCCATGCCATCGACAAGTACTCCAGGATCATATTCCCTGGGGCGTACATTCTCTTTAATTTGATATACTGGTCCATTTTTTCATAAAGATTCGTAACTTTAGTCACAGAACATTGTGACATGAAATGAAAGTACAATCTCATAGGCTAAGAGAAAGAAAATAGGGAATAGTTTTATTTGGAAGGAAGATTGAATTTTTCCAGAATTTTTTTTTTTTTATTAGAGGTAATTCACATGTGGCATAAATAATTGTGGAAGTTTCACATGTCAGCAAAATATAGGATACACAATCTCAAATTTTGTACTTATTTAAACATGTGCTATGTTCCTTCTTGTGCCTCACAGGCCACTGTAAACTAATTTAACAAGTGACTATAATTGCCAGTTGCTTATATATGGTGCATCCTCCATTTTGTGCCCCCGAAATCCTAATTTTCTGAGTACCTGAGTGCATGCATCTCTCAGCTCAGCACACTGACTACATTCAATACCAATAAATACAAGAATATGCAAATACTTGCATGTTTGCAGGATGAGGTAATTACAAACACAAAATATCCAGTACTGGGAAACACTTTGGCAAGGTTATCGATGGCTACAACTTTCACAGCTTAATGTATGACTCAATAGCAGTACTGCACTGACAGGTCCACATAGCAATACTTTCAGACTTGTGCTTCGTCTTAATAGTATTTAAAACATGGAAATATTTCCAAACTGTCTTGACTAAGAGTTTTAAAATACGAATTGCAATGTACATTTAACAAGGAATGAACAAAAGCCAGACTTCCTGTAATACTTAACCAAATCCTCTGGGAAACACAGGAGCTCTCCTTGGATCTGCTTATTTGGGTCACTGGTAGCTTTGCTCTTGAGATTCCTGGGAATGGGTTTCTCTGCAAAATGATCCAGTGAAGACAATCTGTTATCTATGAAAAAACTCCAAACTACTTCAGGAGAAACCTCTTTCCTCTGATATAGTCTGGGTATTGCCAGCCTGTATAAGCCTGAAAACCTGTTGCAGCCTGCAATGCCAGCAGTAGTTGTAACTCACTTTCAGGAAAATCCAGGTTCACCTGTTTGTAATAAAAGCATAACAGAAAGGTGCTCAACAGCTGACAAAGCAGTAGTAAGGACTTTACAAGAGATACCATGCCAAAACCTTTGGAATAAAGTAAGAAAACAGCTTCCTCCATAAGACAGCAGCTCCACTGCAGACACAGGTACAAGTGACAAAATCTGCTTTCATGCTGCATGGCCCCCAGCATCCTGCAGCCCACCATGCCCTCAGAGAAGGCTCAGCACCTTCCAGGGCAGAGCAAGGGGACACAGCTGCAGCTGGGGGCAGCTGGCACTGACTTAAGTCTCAACTCTCCAACACAGTGTCTGCAGAGCAGCCTGTCAGTGTGAATATACTCCATATGGAAAAGGCAGAATCTGTAATACAGAAGTGATAAAATAGTTCAGAAAAACAAGAATCAGTTGAATGGAATCAGGGGCCTTTACAACACCAGCAGCACCAAAGGTGTCTCAGAATTGTGATAATTCAGTTTTTCTGCTGCTACATGATATACACCTGTGTTCACAAAGCTACCTGAGGGTTTGCATTCACAGGATTCCAAACACCACATGCTTTTGCACAAAATTGCAGAATTCATTACTGCCCGCACAGCAGATACTCTCGTGTTTTACAGGCAGAGCTGCTCTGAGCATCAGACCAAAGCAGTTGTGACTCCAAAAGGAGAGTGAATCTTCTTACATGACACCTGCCCTGTCCTGCCTGTTCTGTCACTCGACCATCAGGTGTGTGACACAGTCATTGCAGTTGTTTGAACACTGCTGGTTGTTGTTTTTATTTCTTATGTAAATAAATGTTACATAAACCTACTCAGCATTTCTTACAACTGCTAAAATTGTGACCTGAAAAACTCCCTACACTCATCTCACACAGCCTGCACTCCATAGGTAAGGCAGTAAAATCACAAAAGCTAAACATCATCAAAAACCACACCCACCCATAAGATAGTCCTGCTACTTATTTCTACAGAGATTTTTTTTTACATGCACATGTACTATCATACCTTATTTTATCAAGTCCCCTTCATAGAATATTAGTCTCCTGTAAGTTTTTACAAGAGATTAAAAAATTGCCTTTTTTTTTAACCTGTAAACTTTTCAGTCAAATTAAAGTAGAAAGGTCACTCTGGTAAAAGCAGATAAAAGGTTGACTTCCAGGTTTTCCCACTCTACATTAATCTTTATTCCTTATTCTGATGACAGCTTTCCCCACAAATAGATTTTTTGGGCAAACTTGCACAGGAATGTATTTAGATTCTCAGTATTGCAAGAACCCATTTACTTCTACAACTTAATAGCATGAACAAGAGTGCCAGATTTTATAGTAAGCTCTTCAGCTCCATAAGAAGCTTAATGTTCTGTAGTTTTCTGCAGTATGGTACATTCCTTTATAGACTCATTAATCTCATACTACATACATTATTTGGCATCTGATCAGTATATTAAAGGAGATTTTGAAGATACAAATGGGAGCTGGATTTTGAATTCACTGGCTTTCAGTGGGAACCTAGTTTCCAACTTCCCATATGATTTTTCAAAATTTCCCTTCTAGCACAACCCCCTAAACTGATTCCCCAACCTCAGTGTTTGGATTTACACTATTAATTTACTTGTGTTTTATTTGGGAAACTCTAGTGCCTTTTCAGTCTTATATAAATGTGTATATACATGTACTCTATAACTACAGGATATGTCATATACAGTCAGTGTTTGCTATCAGCAACTGTACTCATTAAACATATTTACATATGCACTTTTTTGGCTTTTAACCTTTCACTGTATAGGTTTTGTATCCAATCATTAACACTCTGCTCCTTTCCACTTCTACAATAACTCAAAGAGGTTTGTTTTGCTTTTGTTTATTTCTAGAAACACTGAAAATCACAATAAAACTTCACATTTGTACAGCATCATGTGTTTTCTACCTTCAAAAGCATGATCTCCGTGAGTTTATACATGGAGAACTCAGGACCTGAACCAGATGAATACCAAATGCATCCTTAAATCTGGTTATGCAGGTAGGGCTGGAGAGTCCCAGAGTTTCACAGCAGGGCTCTGATGAGAAGCCTGGATGCAAACTCCAGATCACCTTGATGGTGACACTCAGCTTTCCATCTCACACAGCAACTGAGCATTACCTTGCTCTCCTTGCTGTGGGTGATACTGTGCAATTTCTGTGAGATGAACCCAAAGCCCAGCCAGGAACCAGGCTGTGTGCAGAAGGCAGGTCTGTGTGTATTGTGCACGGACACAGGCTTTGCCTGTGAGCACCTCTAGCTTTGGAGGCTGAAGCCTTTGGCAGTCTTTAAGGATGATGATAATTACTGATAGGGTGAAGCAGCAAGGAGGCAAACTTCAGTCTGCAACTGAGAAGCTGCAGATATCCCATCCCTGGGAGTGTTCAAGGCCAGGCTGGAGTAGGAAAAGAGAAGGCATGAAGAACTAGATGGTCTTTTAATCTCCCTTCCAACCCAAACCATTCTGTGATTCTCTAAACTCTAGAGCCATTATAACAATAGCCAGTGAATAACGACAGGCACAGCACCTCAAAGTTTCAGCAGCAAAAAGCCCCACTTGAAAGTTACAGCCCATTTTTATACAGTTTTCAAAGTCATCCTGTTTAATTCTAATTAATTAGTAATTACCACTCAATTCATTAGTTAGAAGGTGCTTGTGTGTGTAAGACTCTCTCTTTACACAAGTGTTTACATATTTTCTTCACAGATTCTCTTGGGATAGACTTTTTATTTCTCACAGGTGCAACCCGTTTTTCTCAGAAGGATAGACTGTTATGCAAAATTATTTTCATTCCTAGAATTCTTTCTCATGGGAACTGAATGGCTAGCTGTTAATTCAGCTGAGGAAGGCCTGATTTTATAAGGCCTTTCTTTTATAAGCTTTTACCTGCACGCAACATAAACAAGAGCACCATATTCTTACACTATCCACAACCATATGGACTCATTAGGACTGAAGCATTGGGCTTCTCACTTTCTTTTTAAGTAAGGACATTAGATGCAGTTGCAGCTTGAGAAAAATCCTTAGTGAGTTTGTCAGCTTCTTCTGGCTTCCATTAGTGCCTAGAGGAATCTAAACCAGCAGCAATCTTATCCAGCTTTGGCTTAGTACAGTCTGGGTATGAGCCCTTATGCAGGATGCACTTTTGCTCCCCAGTAAGAACACAAAATGTGGGTGGCAGCAGCAGTCAATGAAACAATTTGGTGGACAAAGGGTCTGTGGAGGGCTGCTACCTGCAGGACAAGGAAATGGCAAACCTCAGGGGTAAAAAGGAAATTATGTAGACTGACTTTTTCTTTGTTATTTCAAAATTATTTATTCCTAAACATTTTGCTCTAAATAAAAGATCATTTTCAGGAATGCTGTTAGCAAGTTATGAGATCACTCAGTGAATACTAGAGAGACTTCAGCAGCTAATGTGTCGTGACTCTTCCTCAGAGGAACACAGTCCTGCTCCTTGTGACTGCAATGGGAGCAGGTACAGAGCACTCACAGTAGGGAGAAGCAATTACAGACATGAGATTCACAAGAACACAAAACTGCATCCCATTTATGGTTTGAAGAGACTGCTGGGCTCTTCTGCACCAGGAACACAGCAGGTTGCAAGTTCTCGCCTTCAAATATTTTCATAAAAAATAAACCCATCACATTTCATGGGTTTTTTTTGTTTTGCTTTGTACCTTTTGCTCATGTCCTAAGACAGATACTAAATAAGGAAATACAATAGTTTGGTAGGCTGGTAGAGGCTTTAAGTTCCTCACAACATCTGGACATCATCACCTCATCCTTTCACAGCTGTCATTTGCCATCAGCAGTTCAGAGTAATTTCAGGCATTACAGTCCATTACTCACACATTTTGATTCATTACTGAGAATACTATTCCTGACAAATATCCCAATACTCTGAAATTACAAACAGCTTGGGGAAGACTGCAGTTAGGGCAACTTAAAAAGCATGCTGGGTATTTTCATGTATGCGTGATTTCTGAGCATGACTGAAAATCAAAGTTTTATTCCCACAGGAACTAAACTTTTCGCATACATAGTATCACTGTGATAGTAAAATTGCAAGGTTAAATCCCAGACTGCTTTAGTTCTGGACGTCAAGAATGAACATTCTGAGACAAGCTGGAATTAGCTCACATGGGGAATTGAGAAAGGCGGCTGAAGGAGAATTCAAGGATTTGGCAAATGAAGCCAAGGTCACCTGACCTAGTGCTGGTGATAATCCCACCTCAAACTGGAGCTAGACCAGCTTTAGCCTAACAGAGACCCTCCACAAGCTCACATGCTAACTTATTCTATCAACTCCAGCATGTTTTAACAGTTAAAACAGCCATAGGATTATAAAGACTAACATTAAATATGGCATTTGGAAAGCACTAACCCTCACAAATGCAGACCAAAATGGAAAGCTTAAACCACCCTCAATCTTACATACTGGTAACCAACTAGGGGGCAAAAAGAAAAAATCAAACATGCTACTCAATCATCCCAATATTAAGCAAAGGACAAGAAAATTCAATCACAATTAAACTCCTTTATTAATATCAACTCATCTTTAATCAGTACTTCAATTCCATTTTTATTCCAGCAATGATTACAACAAAATGAAGACATGCTTTTAGTTCAGAGAAGTTTAATTAACTGATCTTGGATATGATGCAGCTAAGTCTGAACAAAGAGAATTGAGAAGGCTTTAATGCACATCAGCTTGTAGGAAACATAACAATACAGCATGTGCTATCTATGTGGGATCCAAACACTCTATCTTAAAAACAGCAAAGCAAGAAGTTAAGCAGTTCTTGCAGGAAATAAAAAGCCACGTGTGCTAAGGAAATCAATGCACTAGCCTGTTAACAAAGTAGATCTTAATGAATTACAATTGTGTCTGAGAATGAGCAAGGCATACTGTAAATTAAAAGTTAAGGACAAAGTTCCTCTGACAAACCTTAGAACAAATTTCAGGTGGATTTAGTATTTAACTTACTATCCTGGACACATCTTTAGCTCAGAGTTCCACCTTCACCTCTTTCTCACATCCATCTGTGAAAACCCTTTGCTAATGAAAACAAGGATACTGGTGTAAAATTGCAGTGAATATAGAAATGAATAAACTGTAAATGCTGAACAGAATTTTAGAGTTTACCATATAGAGACTGTTTAAAATATATATATATATTTCTGAAAGTCAGTTATTCTGACTTCCTGAGGAATACAGCCTGCCTGCCTTCCTTCCTGAGTCTTCCAGAAGTACCTGTGCTGAGGAAAATGTTAATCAGGAAGTTGCTTTCTCACTCCATCTGTCCACTAACTTCTTTTCTGTGTACTCACAAGATCCTTTAACCAGTGAATCAAAAGGCATCCTAACATGTCTGGGTACACAAAACACCACCTAATTAAAACTGCAGTATCAATGTCCTTGAGAAGCAAAATAGCAAAGATTAAATGGACTAACCACACAAAACACAAAGGATGACTGGCAAGACTTTACAGATCTGCTGCTTAGGACACAGGAACAAACAGGTTACAAAAGCCAGCAGTCCTCACTGCAAGCTCCTCTGAGATTACTAGAGAGACTTGCACACAGCCATTTATTACTTCATGGCACCACACTTGTAGCTTTGTCACAAAGATTTCCACTGGTTTAGATAAATTTATACACCTCCTTCAGGTCAGTTAAGCTGATGCAACACCTTGTGTGGACACCTGTATTGCCTCAGAGCAGAATTCTTCTTAAAGTAGTTTAAAAGTATTGATTTAATCAAATAAATATTTAGCTGCTTTCCAATTTTGTGATGCATGACTTCTCCACAACACCCCCAGAATTTACTAGGAGGAAAATCAGCACATTTCAGGACAATCAAGCTTTTCAGATTGCACTCCTATACAAACAGTCCTCTTCCATTGCTGGAAGTTACTGTTATCAAAACCAAGTATATTTCCAAACATAGCCCCTTCTCTCCAGTGAAACCAGCTCATTTTTTAAGTCTCCATCTTGTCCCAAGAAAAGTGACTGACCAGAAATTTAATAAAAGCTTCACTGATCAGATTCAGCATATGATCACTGAATGAAAAGTGCTTATTTTAGAACAGAAAACAACCATACTTCCTCTAAAAAGAATATTAATATAGCACTACATGGAAAATCACTGACAAGGGATCTAAACACTATAATTCATTCAAAACTGGAAATTAAAGAGAACATATTTGAGATCTCTGTATGAAAATCATAACCATAGTGAACACAAACATTACAGCTAGATGAAATTTCACATTTTTGAAAGCAATTATACTATTTACTTCTCCTAAAGTCCAAATTAAATAAAATCATAATTTCTTCAGCTACGTATTTATCCAGCCCCTATTGGGATTTAAATACAGCATCTCCATTAAGTCAATGCTACTGAGAGTGTTTTAATCAAGTTTAGTGTGATGCACATGCTCCTTCACCAACACCAGATTCTCTTTTAGGTTCTACTGGATTTGTTTGTTCCTCTTCTTTCAGCTTCACTTCTCTGAAGTCTTCCCTGACTTCTTCTAACAGACCTGGCTTGAAGATGACATCCAGTGCTGTCATTGCCAAAGCCTTGGCTGTGCGCAAGGCGTAGAACTGAGCAGTCTGTGACCCTGCAGAAAAAAAATGTAAGGGCAATTTCAGCTTAGATTACCAATATTCAGCCACCTGCTTGCTGCACAAGGGATATTTTATAAAGTAAGATTAGAAGTTTCAGCTTCAAGAACGTTTTCTTAAACATCTACTTGCATGAAGTAAACCTATTTTTCCATGCCTCAAGTACTTAATTTTCTGCTACTGACAAAAACAACTAAGACTGAGAACAGGAATGTTGAGTGTTCATATTATGCTCTTCAGAAAACGTGGAGTTTTATAAGCTAGCATTGTTGCATTTCCTGTATTTTAGGAGTAAAAATTACTTATCTTTCAGCTCAATTTCAGAAATTCTTCTGAATATGCTGTTATAGATAATCCTTCTAATTTCTTTTTTATCTTTTAGTATGAGGAGTGGTTATCCTACCCATATACATATAACCTCAAACACAAACCAAGAAATTCTATATTTGTCAGCTTTTTCTGCAACTCTACAATAAATGTTAATTGTTTTCCCTTCCACTCACCTGCAGCTTCTGTGTACTGCTCAGTGTGATTCAATGCATCAGAGCCAATATAAAAATAAGGATGAATCCCAGGGACCACAAATGTAACATTTCCAAAGTCCGTCGAACCTAGAAGCAGCACAGATATTTTCTTAATAAAAGTGCTTAATAAAAGTTTTGAATGCTGTAAGAAAATGATAGACATTCTCTCCAGCCCATGTCTAAAATGGAGTATCCTTTGCCCCAGATACTAAAATAAGAACATTTCTAATGAGCCATTATCCATACAAATATATCCTGTCAGCAAGGTGTTTTTCCCTAACTAGCCATCTTCAGGAGCTGCCTCCAGTGCACTTCTGATCAATGACCAGTTACTGGACTGCAAGGAAGATGTATCAGCATGTTCTTATTCCTTTTACTGCCCATTTTTATCAAGCATCTCCTGACAGTAAGCTGTTAGTTCAGAAACAGGAAAGCTGCAAACCTTGGGAGTGTCAGGCATTTCAGCCATTTCCCTGTTAGAGCCTTCAGAACTAGGCCAAACAATTCCTGCTTCTCACCAGTATGCAAATATTCAGCATTCTGTAGGGGACTAAAGTAGAAACTATTAATCTTTAAACAAAAACAGATTGAGGGTAACTGGTTTTACCCCCATGTGTTTTGATTATTCTCACTGATGGAAATCCCAACAGCACAAGCACCCTTGAAATAAAATCAGAAGTAAACTCCAGATAAAATGCTAGGTCTTTGTAGACAAACACCTGATAGCAATGTTGCAGATTTCAATGATGATTCTTTCATGCCTATCACTTTCAGTATGTTATCTAGCCCTTATCTCACAGCCTTATCTACTGAATGGGGTCATCCCAAGGTAGAAGTTTCTTCACGGTCAATCATCCAAGAGTCTACAACTACATCCCAAGTGGCTTTGGCTTTTTCTTTTCCCCCAAACAAGCAACCCACTCATTATTTGTTAAAATGACATTTTGAAGCTGGAGAAATCAATGTACCACTTATTGTGAAATCCAGGTACCAGAGGAACCATTGTTTTTTTATCAGGGAAAAAGAGGGATGACCCACTAAGATTCCAATTAACTTTCTGGGGCCAGAGATGAAAGAATTTGTTTCTTTAGTAATGGTGTATAAAATTTTTTTAACACATCAGGTAGCCTCTATATTTGTGATACTTTATGATGAGAAGATATTGCTAGTGCCTTAAGATTTAGTAATTAAACAATGGAAAAACACAGATTTTACTTGGAAGCCTACAGTTATTGAAAGTGAGTCCACAGAGCCTACATTACGAGGACAAGAGTTTGCTATTTACTCTGCTTACAAATAAGGGAAACAGCAAAGCTTGTTCAAAAACATCTCTTCCCATAAATTCAGGATGCATTTGAAGAAAATCCAACTCTTGGCACAGCAATAAGTCATTTTAATTTCCAGTAGTTGGTACTACTGATTCCTTCTTTGGCCAATCTGGACACACAAACCAGAAGTTCTGCATGCTCCAGACTAAACCAAAGGTTCTAGACCGGCCTTTCTAAGTCCCAATACACAAACTGCTGCAAAGACTGTGCTGCCCTTTTCCCTACTTCCACTTAGCAAATGAAACACTAGAAATTTCACAGCATCATAGCTCTCAGTCATGTCATTCCTCCTAAATTCATATCCATATTCAATGTACTACCAGTTGATATGTTATTTTTGCTGAGTAGAAGACATTTAAATTGGGTATTTTCTAGCAACATGGAGAGGCAAAATGCAGGCAGCTTTTAATAAAAATCTAACAGCTAAATCTTCCCCTCTATCAGACAAAATGTTACACTCTTTATGGGAATAAGATAGAGGTATGTTTAGAACATCAGGTGTTTAGTAATTTCCATAAAAAAACCTGAAATTGTGTGCTTGCTAGACACATATTGATTGGCATTCTTTCTGGAAGCATAAGTAATTGCAGTTACCAATGCAATATACATAATCCTGTGCTACCTTCAACAGAGAGATACTGGAGTTCCAGCCTCTCAAAAATATATCCTGAAGCCTCTTCAAGTCACTGCATATTTAGTGGAGTCAGTATTACCACAAACATGAACAGAGGGGAAAACACAAAAGATTCCAGGAAACATTTATATACAGTCCCAAGCTTCAAAAGTGGAATTTTCAAATATACTAGACCTTCTTCTTTATCAGTTTTGTGCACAGGAAGCCAATGAACCCCATGAATACTACATTTTGACTAGATTAAGGTATCACAGGTGTGGGTAAGGGCTCAACTAAGCCCTGTGTAACTAAGCCATCTGCTTTAGGAGGTTATGGATATCCTGTAGTAAAGTCCTACGAACAGCAGGAGAAACAGGTCCTGGCAGCTGGTCCAAGCTGGCTCAGTCTCACAGGATGTCACACCCCTGGCTGTGTGCCTGTGGCCTGAGGTGCTCAGGGAAGCCCTGGTGACGCTTTTCTGCCTAGAGTGATACCTGGGAGCAGAGCCACACTAATGCCCACGCAGAGGTGGCAGCGAGTGCGCCCAGCTCTGAACGACTGTTCTGCTGCACAGACATGGAGAAGCAACTGAGCTATCTTCCTTCCCTTTCAACAGAGGAAACTGACATCCTAAAAGAAAACATTGAAAACCACATGAAAACTAAACAGAAATAGAGGTCTTGAAAAAGATGACACAAAATACTCAATCCCCCCACCAGAAAAGGGTAGCATACAAAGTTCCACTCCTATGGCTCTGGAGACTGTGCTTTGTTATTTGTCCTGAATTCCCACTGCAAAAATTCAGAGGAGAAGCTGTGAAAAGAAAATTCAGTAAACCCTACTGCAATGTGAGATAAAAAAAGCAATTGCTCAAGCACATTTTGACATTTGACACGCAATTCAAGGACAGGACAGTCATACAGGGAGTTTTGGTTTAAGCAAGTTAATTGTTAACATTGAGCATATCATATAACTTACATATGAAAGCCCTACTGCAGCTGGGTGTCTGTGGAAAGTTCACTTCAAGACCTCTGAACAAAAGCAAAATCACTGATATACATGATCATCCTTACTACAGAGGTTTGAAAGAACCAACTAGCAGAGCTCCAGAAAGTTGCACTACAGTAAACATGTTAAGGTTCCTCAGTCTCCTTCTTTGGCTAAACAAGCAAAGCAGTAAATCTTATTTGTATTACACTGAAGAAAGTAGGAAGAAATCTGTCTTAAGTTATCATTTGTTTTTAAACACGAGACAATGAACCACTTTAATTTGAAAGGCAAGTAAGAAACAGAAAAAAATCCCATCACCATTAGATACCAAGTATTTCTTTAGATACAATGTCTCCCCTACCCACAAAAAGGAATTTGGAGAGCTGCTCCTAAACACCAAATTTGTACAAACTCCAAAGACAATCTGCATTTAATAAAGAGAAGATAAGTACTACAATCAAATTAATTAAAATAACTTTTTACTGAGAACAGTATCTTCCTTCTAAGAGAAAAACCTGTAGCATGAATGGAGTAAAAATGTTCATAAATACAGTTAAGATCAGTAGTGAAGGCTCAAAGTATGAGCAGAAGTTGAGACTTGAACAGAGCTCCTGTAGGAAGATTCTGAAAAAAAAGTGTTAAGGATAACAAGAAACCCACCTAAGCATTCAAGAATTCCCATTGCTGTTACAGCTCAGAGACTAAAAAAGTTAAATTGGTTAAGACATAGTTAGGACCCAAAAGTGAACACCTACTTGAAGAGCACCCTTTGGAAAACTAATCCGTTGAACTCATAAACTAAAATTAGAGGCATGTAATTACTTGTTAATGAAAAGATTAAATTAGAGTTAGTGAGATACTTAAACTTAAAGTTATAAATCTCTCCAAAAACTCCCTCTAAAATAATTGCTAGATTCTAGTATATTTGTTTATATGTAAGCTTGGAAAATGTTATTAAACAAGGTTCCTAAAAAAAAGGTCTCATCCCCATTTATAGCAAACCAGGATTCTGTATTTTAAAGCCACAGAATGAGAGACAATTCATTACACATGCTCATATTCTCAGAAAGACTGCTCTTAGCTTTCTATTCCTTCCCCCAGCCAAACTGCTTATTACTTGAAATATTTTCAGAATTATTATAAGAAGGTGTTTACTGCTTTTCTTACCTCTTCTTAGTTTCTACAACAAATAGAGAAAACGCAGGCCAGAGATATAAACCTTCTACAGAGCTTTAGCTTTGTAATTTGGCTTTTTCTTCTGTGTTTAACTTAGCTCTAATTTGTTATTTTATACACTTGAAGCTTGATCAACCTAAGCTTGAGATACAATGAAAAATGCAGCTGGAGTTACCTGACAAACCATTCAAGATAGCATCTTCTGATATAAAATCTATTCCAAGCTTCTTTCCATTCTCCTTGTAAATTTTCTGCAGGCTCTTATTTGGAAGCACATTGTAGTAATCATTTTCACCACCTTTTATTTCCACCTAGACAAAAACCCCAAATCACTGTAAGTTTTTCTCCAGTGTAAGCCAGTTCAATGTAAACAATCTGAAGGCCAAAAAAACCCCCTACATATCCAGACTTCAAGCCCAAGGCAAAACAGACATAAGCGCTAAGTTTATTTCAAAAATACAACATCCTGCCAAATATTACCCTCCATCAAAACACTGCTGATGTTCTGTTCAGCTTGCACTAGACAGCCAAATTCCAGAAGAAAGGATTTCAAAATTTTCTCCAAAAACAAGAAACAAATATTTCCTGTAACAGTGTCTAATGATTTTGTCTGCAAGTACTATTAAACTACATAGAAATAAACACAGGCTTTTATCAAACTATGTTACCTTTTTTCAGAATGCTTCCAATAACTACAGCCCCATTCATGACATGGCTTCATACAGGTAAGAAATTTGAAAACAAATGGAAAAAAAAATCTATCAATGTCAAATTTCAAAAGAGGTTTTAACTTTCATTTGCATAAAGTGCACTTTCTGAACCTCTTTTCCAGATATAGTGAAGGGGGCACAGTAGGAAAACAACTTTTAACATTTCAAGAAGACTATAAAAGTGACATTCACATACCCCATATCTATTTGTTTTGATGACCACATACATTCTTTTTACAGCTGAATTAGTCAGAAGCTTGTAATTAACAGCCAAGTAGAACCATCTATCTTAGCAGCACAAAAAAGGTAATCATATTGCTTGAACCAGCTAGATGAGACACTTCCATTTACTAAAAGCAAAACAAATGAGAATGCAGAATGCTAATTGAAATATCATTCAATTGCTATATGAGCCTGCTGCTTAATGGGGCAGTGGACCTAATGACCAAGAATATGGGGAAAAAAACAGACAGAATACCCAATACCTGTTTTGCTTGTTTCTACAGGTGAGGTTTGCCATCAAGCCTCCCAGGTCTCTGAGCCTAGCAGCACTATCTGTAGGATAGAAGCATCACCCACAGCAAAACAAAAAGAAATTACAGGACACTTAAAGAAATTGAATGTACATGGGATCAGGCAGGATGCACCCAAGGATGCAGAGTAAGAGAAGCAGAAATACAGTCTGGGAGCCATTATTTTTTTAAATGTCACTGAAACAGAGGGCTGTTCCAGCTCACTGAACAACACCTAAATGTCACATCCTCTTGAAGGGCCAAGAGTGAAAACTACACACTCCTCAGACCATCCTAGTCTCAAGTTCCCAGAGGGATTACAAAGCAAATAAATCCTCCTAGAACTCATGCCCAGGCTCAAGAATCACAAGGTGATTGTGAGCATCCACCACACAAGATGGAACTCATTTAAGAGTAGATAGTGCATGACCAAGCCTAGCTTTGCATGACAACATGACTGGCTCAGATGACACAAGACATGCAAGCTCCAAGTGTTTTATAATCAGCAGCACAAAATACCACATTGCTGCCTGTTACTGTAGCACCCATCTGCAACTGAGACTGGTGCCATTAGCATTTTAGTATTTTTATTACTGATGGAGATGTGTTTGTTTGGTTTCTCCTCAAATCAAGACTGGAGCTAGGCCAGGGGAAGGCCACCAAGATGACTGAGTGGAGAACACAATGTACAAGGACAGGCTGAAAGAACTGGATCTGCTGAGCCCTCACAGAACAGAAGGTTAGTGGGGCATCTTACTGCTGTCTAGAGTTACCAGATGGGAAGGGTACAGGGAAGGCAGGACCAGACTTCTCAGATGTCAGTGATCCAACAAGAAGCAGCAAAGGAAATCCTGTTGGATACAACAGAATCACAGAGGGTTGATGTGGGAAAGCACCTATGGAGGTCACCTTGTCCAGTTCCCCTGCTCAATCAGGGTCACCTAGAGCTGCTTTCCCAGAACCATACTGAGGCAGCTTTTGAGTATCTCCAAAGAGGGAAACACAGCAATCTCTGCAGGAAACCTGTGGCAGTGCTCAAGTCATTGCAGCATAAACATTAGGAAAACCCTTGCTCACCACGAGGTGTGTAGAGCACTTTTTGAGAGAGGTGGTAGAATTTCATCCTTGGAAGTATTCAAAAGTTCACATGGCACTCAGCAACCTGCTCTAACTGGTCTTGCTCTGAATGGAGAATTAGACCAGATGACCTCCAGAGGTCTCTCCCAACACATATTCCTCTAGGATTCTGTGGCATTCTATTTATAAACCAAAGCTTTCTTTCAGGACACAAAGCAACAGAACAGCAAAAAGTGTACCAGTAATTTAGATTTACTTTGGTTAAACACTATGCAGACAGAGTAAACATTGATTTCCTGTTTTGGTCTGTGTAACAGAAACACATGACATTGAATATGTTCTTACCTTGCATCCTGTGGCCACTGCTGCAGATTTGAAGCAGTTTTCAACCTTCTCTGTCAGAACAGAAAGCTCTTTCCTTGAGGGAGCACGCAAGTAAAACTCTAGTTCAGTGTAAGAAGGAATGATGTTAGGTTTCACACCACCATTTTTTATTACACCTGCAGAAAGGAAAAAGTTGTGTTGTCAGTATTAAATGCAATTGTTTGATCTTCAGCTCTCTCATTAAATTCCTGGGTCAAGAACTAAAAACATATAAACAAAAATAACAAAACATCAGCTGAAAATGAAATACAAGGAATGTAAAAAATGCAGTGTGTGGACAAAGTTTCTTCATCACGTCACATTACATGTGGAACACGTACATGTCTTTCAGCACAATTTCACAGCATTCTTTGGTTAGACATCTGTTTTACATCCCAGAGTCAAGCCAAACTAGCATTTCTAATTAATCCCCTAAAATTCAATGCATTGGAGTCATAAAATAATCTGTCTGCCAACAGAGAAAAGAATTGCTAAAAGGGATAAACTGGAGACCAACTTTCAAATGTTTCCTCAATTAGAATGTTTCCAACTTATTTTGTGATCTTGAAGAAAATCTGAACAAGTTTCTCAGCAATACTGAAACAATGTATGTATTGCAGTGCACAGAAAGTTCATTTAGATTGCTCATTTTAATTCTTCAGAAATATTGGAATGTATAACACATATAGCTTTAGTCACAAGTGCAGTTTGAGCTGAAAGCGCTCCCTCGAGGGAATGTGTGACCAACTACATCTTTTACCATTACAGCATCAAAGGCATTTCCATAAAATACAGCAATATTTAGATATTTTGACAAGAACACATGACAGATCCCAGTTTCACAACAGATGTAACTGCACTAACAGCTAGTTGTTTCCAACAGGGTGTTTCCCTGGTCTTCTACCCTCAATTTCTATAATGTGGAATTAGATTTGTTTTCTGTAGAACCTGAGAAACGTCTACCTTAAATGGAAATATTGCAGAAGTTACTGATGTGTGTCACTGAGGCCTGAAGAGACACACTATATTGTTGTAAACAGACAACAAAATATTTATTTTGGCACAGAAAACCCATTAGGATTCCAAACTTCACCTCCAGTCTCAAATACAGTCCAAATACAAAACAGTGTTGAATTAATCCAGTATCAGTATTTGTCCATAACAATAGGAACAGCTCAGATGAGAGGGACAGACATCACAGAAAAGGAAGCAGTAAGTATTCATGCAAATTTAAATGACACATATCCATAACAAACTTTCTCAGAACAAGTAGCTTCATGAGTAAAGAGTTTTCATTTGTCTTGTGCTGCACAATTGTAAGTGGGACTGGAGAGAGTCTGATTAGGTCTACAGTTAAATTTCAATACAACTGCAATATGGACTGGACAGCAGACCTGAACTACAAGTAAGCTGCCTGCACACTGCTGTAGCACCCAATTTGCCCTTCTGGATGGAAAATCTTATTTACAACCTGCTTAATACAACTTCTGGAACAGGAAAAAAAAAATCTACATTCCTGTTTTTAAGGGGGCAACATATACTCCACTCATACACAGGGAAGAAAGATCACATCAATATCTCAGATGAACTCAAGACAATGATATTTCAGTACATGAAGCATTGGTTAGAAATTCTAGACTTCAAGCAATAGAAATTATTCCAGCTTTTGTAAGTGGGGTAACACTACTATTTTTAGGATCACTTAATTCAGCCACTGATTATACAGAAAGTCTACAACATGAAGTCTCCTACACAATGTTGTAAAGAAAGCATTTCTAAAATTCAGTCTCACTCTCTGGCTGCTTGTCCTTTCCCAGAAGTAATTTAAATACTTCCACTTTGAAAAACCAGTTTTATGGCAGCAGTTGTATCAACACAGTAATTTCAGTTTTGCTACTGTTCAGGAAGCATTACCTTAGAAGGCCTTACTGTTTAGGTACTTAGAGTTTTTGCCAACATTACCCATGTAACCTTTAGAAACTAGAAAGAAAGCAGTATTTAGGGGTTTAGGCTTAGATTCAACAGAAAACTTAGGCACCTTCAGCCTTAAACCTGCAACACATGGGTTGCAGACACCAAAACTCTTAATTATGTGCCTTGTTTTCGACAGAGAAATAGGACAGAGAGGCTGTGCCTGCTGTCTGAAATTCATTTGGGCACGCTGCACAGCAGAACTGCAAATAGCTTCATCTACAGTCAAAAGGATTAGGACTCCATCCAGATATCCTGGACAGAAATGCACACTTGAATTACATACAGCATAAGCAGCCAAGATACATAATGATCAGCTCAAAACATCTGGAAAGATTTTTAGCTCATAACAAACATTTCAAATAAACAGCTCTACATTCAGAAGTCCCATAGAATTGGCAATGTTTCTTAATTTCAACTTGGCAAAAGTTGTGCTGGGTGCAATAAGGAACCCTGGGTTTATAGCTATAGGGCAGCTTCTCCTCATTTTTTGAACCTTTCTCACTGTACAGGTAGAAATGAACAATGTTGAAGGAGGAAAAACCAAGTTTAATGGTTAACATGTCTTTCTGCAAATTGGCCTTTCTAATTCAAAACCTACTAGATATTAAATATAAGAATACAGTGAACATCTAGTTGATTGGGCTACTAACCAGGACTATGATCTTCTGTCATCACTTGTTCTTTGTACTTTACCAAATAAATTTCATTCCAGACCACCAGACCCTTCCAATAAATGCCATCTAATTAATGGAATGTCTACTCAAAAAGTGATGCAGTAAGTAATATCTCACTTTCTGGAGCTATTTAGTCTTACACCTTTGCAAATTCACACATATTAAGGAGTTCAAGGCCATGTACCAAAATAAATTTTGCACTTTTTTCTTTTTTTTTTCTGAACTGCAACTTCAAGACTTAGAATTGATCTAACCTCTGCCTAGGCATCAGAGTCCCCTTTCAAATCTGACCTCTCAGCCTGTTTTGAGCAGTTAGTTCTGGACACTGACATCACTGTAAAAATTGCAGACACACCATTTAAATGAAATGGTGCTGTTTCATAATATTTGAAATGACTAAACTAATTTAGTGCTTTAGTAAAATGCTTTGGAATGTGTGATATTCTATGTTAGTACTTCAGCAGCCTAAACTCTAACTTGCTGGACATTAGGTTTAAGAAAGATCTCACCATGAACTCTCCAGGTCGGTTTCATCTGCTGTCTTAAAACAGACAGATTGTTGTAGGCAAGAACAGCAGCATCTAATGCATTAACTCCTTCCCAAGGATAAGCAGCAGCATGAGAAGCTTTTCCATAGTATTTCACAGTCACACTAGGAAATAAAAGGCATGGCTTATTTGTTTCTCATTCACTGAAAAAAAAAAAAAAATCTTTGAAATGAAAAATGTCCTTTTGTTCCCACAAATATATGTTATTTAAATTTTGGTCAGCATAACACCAAACAATTTACCTGGCACTCGACTGTTGCATAGATAAACTATCTTTGAGTACAAAAAAAACCTGAAAGACTTCTAGAAAAGCAGCAGAATGGAATGATACCAAGAGCCAGTCAGGCAAGGGAGCGACTGGTGACATCATTATGTAGCCTTTTCCTGAAGAGTACACATTTCACATATTAATTAAATTTCTCCTCTGCTTTTTTTATACTGCCTGACTCTTCTGAGACTTTAAGTTAAAAACACTCTTCTCAGAGGGTAATAAACCCTTTTCTCTGATTCAAATCTGGAAGTTGAGCGTCCTAATTCTTGTCAAATAAACTGTGTACAATATCTAAGATAGCAAAAGCACGTAAGACCACATATAACCCATGTCTAAAAAACAAAAGTCAAGTTTTATGAGTATGGAAAAGCACAGCCTATTGTAAAATACATATTATTATGCTACAGCAAGGATCTTCTCTTCTTGCACCCTTCTAAAAAGGTGGCAGAAAGGCTTGCAACAAGGAGGAAATCTAATGCAAAGGCAATCCTCCAACTTCACAGAAGTCATAAAATATTGCACCTTAACATATCCAGTAAAAATTAATGCTTTGCTTCATCTGAGGGCCACTAATATTAGCTTTACAAAGTAACTTAGTATTTTAGACTGTTTATGAGAACTGTTTACAAAAGAGGAAAACATTAAATACTGACATCTACATATAAGGTCTCACTATTTATAAAATACACAAAACAATCTGTACTCCATATCCACTCCTTTATAGAAAAAACTCAATCTTCAAGCGTTCCTCCCACCCCAAGACACACAACCTGTCTCTTATCCAGCCTAACTTGCTTGTCCCTCTGTCTTGCACAAATGCCAACTCAACCAGTTATCCTGAAGTGACCCCTTGTGCTCAGAACCATGCCACAGCTGCAAGTTAACACCAGCCCTTAAACTCTGGAAGGAAAAGAGGGACACAATGCAGTGTACTGTTGCAACAGGAAACATCTCTTACTGCTCCTGCAACCCAAATTAGGCTTGCCTTTTTCTATCCCCACTGATCTTCCAAGACAATCACAGAACCCATTCTCTAGACTAGGAATTTTATTTAAAATTTCTTATCATTAAGAAATGTAAGAAACTTGTCCATTAATATCCCAAATATTAGACTGCAACCCCTCAAATCAACTCACAAAGATCCCTGGACATTCTCAAAAAAATAGAAAGAAGGCAAAGTACAGCAGAAAGTCATGCTGCAGTACTCTCTTCCAGAAGGAACATGTGTTTCTTATTAAAAGAAATTCTTCCAGCATTCCTTTACTTGTACTTTTGCTACACAAATGTCACAGACACTCAGAAAAACCCAAGAGATTTTGCAGAATAATAACACCCTAAGCCATTTTAAGAATACCAGCAGAAGAATGTGGATCCTGTTTGTCCAACAATAAATAGGCTGATTAAGTGAAGGGTAATTGAGTAAGAATCAGCAAACTTTGGCATGTATCCACCACTTATCCCAATATGTTAATCTTATTTCAGGCACAAGCCAATTTTCAGAATTGCAGACACAGAAATAGTAGCAACTTAGTGAACTCCAGTCCTTAAACTCCCTGCCAACAAGCAAAGACCAATGAAAATTAGAAAAGCTGTCTGTCTACCTTTGAAACCTCACAATTACATAAAATATAACAAACTCAGTATTTCAAGCTTTTGGAGATAATAAGTTGTTTCACTCAGCACTTCAATTCCATGCCTCCTCCATGTTCAAGGGTTTAAAGGCTATCTAGGACTTGCATCCTATTGCAGACTCTGACCTCTGAAAAGAGATTTCCAAACCTTACTGTATCAAACTCAAAAGGCTATTGCAAGCAGAAAGACAGAACTATCATTGAAAACTACATCTTTAAGATTATAATATGGTCCTAAGGTAAAGCAAAGGCAAGTTGGGCTAAATCTTGAAGGAAGGTACAACAACCAGTTAAGACTCTTTAGAAACACGAGGAAGGAAAGTAGCAGAGAACTGGCCAGGTGATGAAAATTAACCCTGTCTGTTTTACCATGTAACTTGGCATTTACAGAAGCAAATTATCCACTGGAAACAGCCCTGGTAAAAGCAAAATGGTCAGTAATATCAAGCATATCAGAGCTAGACAATAGCACAAACAATCTTAAAACAGTTCCCAGTACAAGTCATAAATGACTCGAAAATTACTTATTTAAATAAATCAGAATTTAGTCTGAAACAGTCAAATGTAATACTTGCAAAAGCTTTTGCACTGGAGGGAGTTCACTAGTGGAGACTCTGCAAGGTAAGACCCTCTGGCATCAGGAATCACATAATAATAGAAGAATGTGACATAAAATATAGGAAAAAAACCTGCTGACAGACTACTGCTGGGACACTGTGGAAACAGACATTTACAACACCAAAGGAAGAACAGCATTGCCTTGCAGACTGGCAGAGAAAGAAAAGAATGAAGCTCCAAAGCACTTTTTAAAAATCATGTACTTAAAGACCAAGCAATTGCCTAAGAGTTGATTGCTTGAAAATGGCTGAAGAGAAGTCTCACACGCGCCAGCTGTCTCCAAAATTATAAGGAAACACTATGGTCCTTGCAGAAGCTGAGTAAGATCTAAGGCAATTGCACCTCATGTAGTGTGTACAATTTTGGGGATGCACATCCAGCAAAGTGTACTTTAAGGCAAACCAAGTGACCCAAAGCTCAAGTGAGCCAGTGCTGTCTCTGAACATCAGGGCCAATCAAAAGAAGACAAGATAAAATTTTCAAAGAGTTATATGGCTGGCAGAAAAGGCAGCTGTGTAGGGTAGGACTGTTGTCCATCCTGACACTGGGGGCAAACACGAAGGAAAGACAGGTACTACTATGGATCAAAACCAAAAAGTTGATGTGAGAGTTAATACACACAACATGGCTCTGACTAAATTTAGTGTGGAAGTTACTACTGATCCAAAGTTCAGTCGGGCTTAGCTGGCCAGTTATTTTCAAACGGAGGAAGGCAAACCTTCCAAACTGATTAAAAATGCATAGAGAACCACGTAACTGGCATCCAGGAAAGCATAAAACAATGACCCTTGAGACCCTGCAGTTGTATCTTTAAATTCTACTTCAACAGATGGCAGGATTTCTTCAAAAGAAACGCTTAGAACCATTATAACAAAAGATGGATTTTTGGGATATGTGGAAGATTATCTCAGATCAGTCAGGGATTTGAGCTAGGCTGAACACAGCACTTTGGAAGAATGGCTCCGAGTGCCATTCCCTAACACTAACCTGGCTCCTTAGCTGACAGCAGACACCTTTGTCTGATGGGCACCTGCAAGGCTCCGGGTTCAGCCACTGCTAAAGCCAGTCCCCTTCTCAGGAAGGGGACAAAAAGCTAACAACAAACCATCTCTTTGCACCTGAACCCACGCACTCACTCATGCTCGGCCACGTCGGGCAGGTAAGCAGCGTTTTCTTGCGAGGGGTGCGCCATGAAAACCACATCCAGGCCATCGAACGCCCCAGCCTTGATGAGGTCTATTTTGCCTCCTCCTTGCTCTTCCGCGGGGGTCCCCAGCACGGTGATCTGCAGCACAAAGGCACGGAGAGAGTCAGGGGCTATCAGGGAGCGCCCACCACCGCTCCCCCGGGAGGGCTCGCACCTGCACG